TGGTCCCCCCTTATGAAAAAAATATCGCGATTTTCGAGTGTAACTTCCAAACGCAAAGAGATACGAAAGTGCGGTTTGATTTTTTGAAATCAGCGTGGTCAAATTAGTAAAGAAATCAAATTTTGATTTGCTTCGCACATCTGAGTTTTAGTTTTAATGCTAAATATAATTATTTTTGACAAAGTTATATTTATTAATTTTTCTAGATGGTAAACTTTATTCCTTACCATTTTTAAATATAAAATAAAAAGACAATAAAAATTAAAATGTTAAAAGTTTTAAAAAATATAAAAACATTAGGTAATTGTAACGTTATGTATACGTAAATAATGGTATTTAATTTTCTTTGCGTACGCCTCTGAAAATTCGTTGTCAAAAGCAATTTAGACGAACAATAACTTAATGGAATCATATTTCATAGCAACCTGATTATTAATTGATAGTTAAGACAAACATAATAATTTCAAAGGACTCTAAGGACACTAGCCTGCTTGATCCTTTGTGTTTTACTGCCTTTTACTTTAATTGAGCAGGTCTTGTTTGGGGGTAAATTCATTATGTTTACTTTAATGGGTTAATTAATGGTTGCTATTATTGTGTGTATTTATTTGATTATAATATTAATAATTACACCTATAGTTTACGTAATTGACAAGGGTCGAAGGACCTAAATCATAGCTTTAACTTTTGACATCCCAGTCTGGGGTTTTCTTTGCAAAATTTAACCTAAGAAGCTTATCTTTATTGTTACGTTTGAGTATAGAAAATGGCGATTAAAAGTTTTGATTTTTCGAAACAAACTATTAAAATATATCTAACAACAAATTTTATATTAATATACATTGTGTTTCATTTTGATTGGCGACAATTCGGTATTTATTTAAACATAATTCCATAAAAAAATAGCTATTTGTTTTACAATTGTTGAAAAGCTTTTCCCACAAGTGAAATACAATGTTTTTCTACGACCCTTTTATTTTTTATTATTTTCAAATACAAATCTATAAAATTAGTTTTTGCAAAAAAATATTTGTGCACGGGCTATAAATCTTTAAATTATACACTCTATCACAAGTATTATTAGCGTTCCTGCTGTGTTAATACCAATTGTAAATGTTGCATAAATAATTGAATACGTCAATGCAGAAACTGAATATGTCCTACCTATCTAGTTTTGAGATAAATAAGAAAAACTGAACAGAAAGTGGACATGTTCTGGACATATTCAGTTTCTCTACTATATTAACGCCTTTGTATAATCTATAGATTACCGTGACATGTGAAATTTCTACGCCATTCGATCGGGCACCCTTTACTTATAGTAAATCCATGTTTAACTCAATATCCCTAAAAAGTGGACATATTCAGTTTCTGCATTGACCTATTCAATTATTGTAAATGTAAATTAAAATAACTTTATTGGAAAAAAGATATCATTTGTATACAATGTCATAATACATACTAGCCAAAACTGTAATATTAATAAACCCCCACTACAAAATATCCTACCGACTGCGCCATAAATTAAATAATACCAGAGTAGGTAGTGGGGAGTATGAGAACCAACATAATTTTTGGAAAAAAAGAAACACAAATGTTTTTATCCACGACTACCTTATAATATATACTTTATAAATGAGTTTTCTAAAGCAAAATGATAGTCATATTTCACAGAGTGAATAATAGCAGTGAATAATCATTATTCACTGGTCTAGAGTTCCTATAGGACACACGATATAGATTGTATCTGGCAAGCACTTATAAGTTCGTCTAGGCAATTATAGCCAGGCACTTTAATTATCTAACTTTATACCAATCATAAAAGTCTTGTTAAAGTATTACTTTAATATGTTTTTTAATGCAATTGAATAAAAATTTAACATTAAGTAGACTACCTATTTCAAGTAAGTAAGCCATTGACATGACATGACAAGCTTAGCATAAATTGCTGTCAATTTGAAACGTCATAACTTCGATTCAGCACACGATTTTTTTTACAAATTATTATTAATCTTAAATTACACATAAAAAATCAAAGCGTGAAAGATGAAGAGATGTTACGCACTCAACAAAACATCACAGAAGTCACTTTTCGAAATACGAATTACCTAAAAAATCACATTCATTGGAAATAAAATACTGCATAATCTATAAATAATAGAATTATCAAGTAGTTAGTAAGCCATGTAATCAACTGACAACTAATAATTATTTGAAACGTCAAATTTTAACGACGCGGTGGTGCAATAATAATTCCTGTTAAAATTATAATTTGCTTTCAAAAATACGTTAACAATGGAAATTGATAGTGAAGAAGATATATTGTGTACTCCACCGGAGATAACAGAAGCTGCAAAAGTCACTTCCCTGAATTTGTTGCCTGAGAAATCCCAAAATTTGTACGTATCTGTGTACAACACCTTTATGGACTGGAGAGCGACCAAGAAAATTAATTCATTCTCAAAGTCTGTTTTACTGGTATATTTTATATATAAATATTACAATTAATATAAATAAATTGTTTTAAAAATAGTCACAGGCATCTTTAATTTTTGGTTTTGTTAATGTCAAATAGGTTATAAGAAATATAAATTTTTTTGCATTAAATCCGTTAAAAGTCAATAGTAGTCGTGGACAAAGCATAGTATTCTACTCACATATAATGAGCTATTATTCACTCAGGTTAATTATGCCACTCGCTACGCTCGTGACATAAACTTAACCTTCGTGAATAATAGCCCTCATTATATGCTCGTAGGTATAATAATATACTATTTATTTTTATATAACTTATTTTAATTATGAATTTTACAGTTTTTCAATCAGAAGATCAGAAGAAAAAGATAAAGGGAGCCAGAGAATAAAAGTAAATAAACAGAGAACAAAGAGCCTAAAATTGAAGAACGTGATTTGAAAAAAGAAGAGCCAAATAATTGAATTAAATACAAAAAAAAATTGCAACAAAAATAGCATATTGTTTATCGAGAGTGGAATCATAGCAATTACTCGCGATGACGAAAGTTTCCGAGCGAGCCGATAGGCGAGTGAAGGAATTCATTGAGAGAGTATTTGCGATTCCACGCGAGGCAAACACTATACTTTTTTTTCGAGTGGTGCTAATTATTAATTCATTTTTAGATAATTAAAAAAAATACGTTTAATTAAAAACTGACGTTTACATTTCTAAAGTCGTTCTAATTAAGTTAGTACGCTTACCTTCTTTAAGAAATTTAAGCTAAACTCTATAAAAGCTCACTTTTTCTTAAAAATACCCAATTTGGGTAGCGGCAAAAAACTTGTGTCAAAATTTTATAAATCTGACGATTAATGAAAATATAGTGTACAGATCAGTGTGTGGAATAATTGTGTTTCTCATGGTTTAAACATTGACACTTTAATGCGTTTTAAGTTTAATTCTGAAAACAAACAGTTAAATGGCCAGTGTCCAATTACTCGTTGGTAAAAAAAGTAAATTTCTATTATTGGACATATGTCCAATGACATACTCTATTTGTATCCCGAACATTTACCAGCGAATTCTTAAAATTCTGTAAAATTGTCCCCTGAATCCGAAAAGACCGTCAAAAAATATAAAAGTTGAGCATTTTTGAAATATAGTCAATTCCATATTATATGTAAAATTGATTACTTATATTTCAAAAACTGTTCTACTTTTATAACTTTTGACGACATTTTCAGATTCAGCGAATAATATTTCATATTAATTGACTGCTAAATGTCCTGGATACAAATTGCTGTTGACGAGAATTATTAGTGGCTGCTTTTTCGCTATGACATTTTTGACTAATTCATTTTTAGAGAGTAAGTAATATAGTGATTTCTTCGTCACAGGACATCTTGCAGAATAATAGTGATTTAAATCAGTGCATGATAGAGAACATAAAAAAGTAATGGCAACAAAATTAATAAATTCGGAAAATACTTTTAACATACCACCCGAAAAAATATTAGATCATCCTGTTTTGGCCTAAACATTATAAATGCTTCACAAATTAGAGATACCACACTAAAAGATATTTGCAACAAACTATTTCAATTAGTAGTTACCTTCAGAATCCAGAAAAGGGATGAGGAATCCGAGAAAGAAATATATTAATTATATGATATTTACAAAAACAAAATAAAAAAAATTACCAAAAACAGCAATTTATATTTAAAAAATATTTAACAATTTATGTTATTTGATGTAAAGTTGTTATGTTTATATAAAAATTGTATGTCCAATAACTATGGTCCATGTGTCCAATTACTATATAAAATGTCCAATTACTATACTTGTTTGCAACGTAAATAAAGTTTATACAAACAAACTATCCTTTTTGCATATTTATAAGAAAAAAACTAAAATGATATATATAAATTTTAAATAAATAATATTCCTTAAGTGTCCAATAACTATGTCGTTAGTAGTAATACCCTATAATTATCTAAAAACATTTCTTTAAAACATAGTTGCAAAAATGGCGAATGCGCCGGGATAGTAATACGGATTTTTTACCTTGTTTTTTAGAATTGTCATTTTCTCAGAGAAACTTTCCAATAGTTCAGGAAAATGTAATTTTCTTATAAACCGTTGGATATTTAAAAAGTTTTTGATATCTTAGTAGTTTAAAAAACAAGAAGGAAAAATCATCCAGAATATTTTTTTCTTAAAAATTTAAAATTCATTTTTCATATTATTATTATGTCAAAAAGCTGTTTTTTTTATTTTAATTTTTAATTAAATTAAATTCATTTGAGTTCGGACAAAGTAAAAAGTTTAACGTTTCCTGAGGCGCGTTGATCCCCGTAATTACACTCTATTAAATTTTAATAAAACAAAGATTAATCCAGAGGCTGTCGGTGTATCGCGCATGCGCCGAGCGATTTTCCCCGCGCGCTTTCCATTTTCCCGCCGCGACGGACCGAATTTTCATTCTGGCGTACGCGCGCGTTCCGCAAGGTCCTCTCTTCCTTGTCACCGTCCTGTTAAAAGGACACGACTACAGTGCGGCAGTGATCCGTTTTTATCGGTCGAGGGCCGTAAATTTTTTAATTTTTTGTTTTTTTGAGGTGCCAGTTTTATCCCTTTTCTCCCTTTTTCTACTTCTAAAGTTTTACGTTATGGTTTGATGATGATTCGAAAGTAGTAAATTTTGTGCTTACCTAAGTAAAAACTGACTTTGTTATTTTCTCCATCGGACCAAAGGATACAAAAGTAAGCGATTTTTTAGTTTTTAGTAGTAAAGATATTAATAAAATATATTTGAACATGAATAGTCGCGCGTTAAATCAACAGGTTTATTTCTACGCTTCCCTTATTTCCATGTCATGTTTTGTGTATGACTTAATATGTTAAATCTCTTATTTTAAATATCTTAAAACATTGTTTTAACACAATCAAATGGTAAATTAAAAAACCTTTCGATTGATGTAGCAATTCCCTATAACTAAGGTTAATAATTTAAGAGATATTTAACAGTTTCTAAAACTTTAAATATTATTTTGCACAATATCAACGCCATTAAATTTTGAACAATGACAGATTACGAGGTAACCATAGATACCGTCAACTCACCCGTCACAGGTTTCTTGATATAAAATAATATTTAAAATTTTAGAAATTGTTAAATATCTCTTAAATTATGAACTTTAGGTATAGGGAATAGTTACATCAATCGAAAGATTTTTTTAATTTACCATTTCATTATTTAAAAACACACCGGGTATAACAATTAAAATAAAAAAGTTATCATCATTTCAAGTTAGCCTAATTGGGTTTTCTTAGGTAATTTGTTAAAAAATGTTTAAGAAATGACATGAACAATGTTTTAAGATTCCAAAAATAGTAACCTAATAACAAAAATTTTTTATTTTATATTTATGATTGACGCGCATATGTCAAATTTTAACGAAAAAAAATAATAAATAACACTCTTCCAGATGCAGAAACGCATTGATAAATATAGTTATTATTATTTGTACAAAAAAACAGTTCTATACCGTTTACAAAAACGGTTTGTAGTATTAATGAAACCCTAATTGTATTATTCAAAGAAATTTTGTTACTTTTACAAATCCCTTTTCGTTTAAAATAAAACTTTTTTATAATATTAATAAAATTTATGTAAATTTAACAATAAATTAATTGTTAATTCAATAAACTTTTTTCATTGTAACAATGGTCAAATTTTCAACCTACTGTTGGGTGTTGGGTAGTTTTTTTTTAACAATTGCAAGGCATTAAAACATATTATTTATTATAACAAAAAAATTAACTCATATTATATTATGTACAAAATAAAAAAATATATCATATTTTAAATATGAATTCACTTTTTAAACAACAAGTCTGCTTCGTTTATAGAATATTTCTTTTAAAAAACATCGAAAATTTTTAATATTCTTTTTAATATTTTTATCATGCTAGATTTTACCACACTTCACTCGCACAAGTGAAATTAATAAGATTATAACACAGACTGTGGATTATAAAGTTATGTCCACCAAGGAGAGCGCTGGCCCTTTCCTCCTCTTTTTAAGGGAAATAACAAAAATTTTGTTACCATTGCAAAACTATAGTAAATATAAAAAAAAATTTATAGCAATAAAATATTTTTGTTATTGTTCTTAACGTAAGCTATTAACAAAGATTTTTTAACTGAAATAAAATTAATTTGAATTACAACGATAGAAATTAAAAAAAAATATGCCATAGTAAAATGAACAAATTTTACTATAACAACTGCGTATTACTTTATGTAAGCGCAATTCACACACAACTATAGATTTAACAAAAACATTTTAAGTTCGACAAAGATTTAATGTAAACATAAAGTATTTCTTATTGCCATGATAATATGATAACAACTATGACTTTGTTGGATGAACATTTTTTTTATAAAAGCTCAACAATGCTGCTTCATTATAGTAAATGAGAATTTTAACAGTAAAAAGTTTATTCTGTAAATAAAAATAATCTCATTACTTTGACAAATCCTAGGTTTTTGTCCCAATAAGACACTAAAAATTTAATAAAAAAGTTACCTTAGGTGGTACATTTTTTTAGCCATTACAATTTGAAATTTAAGTTAATTAATATTATTTTATTAATCGCTTACAAAATTAGTTTCATTATCAGTGCATGTACATTTTTCTGAGTGCAGAAAGAATGGGAAATATAAATAAATTAAACACCTCTTTAAAACCTTCATTTGAAGATATATCAATAATAAGAAGCTATTGTGGTTGTCAAAAGTATTTTTTGACGAGGGCTTATAATTGATTTTTTTTTATATTTTAGTGGAAGGTTGTATACTTACAAGAAAGAAATTTATCTAATACAGATTTACAAAATTTTCATCCAAAGATTGACACAAATAACATTTATAAAAGGCAAATTCTTTTATATGTTACATCCTTTATTGCCATTGTATGTATTTTTCGAGTAGCTCGTTTCTAGGAATTTCACTCCTAGGAGCTCATTCTCCCTCATTTTTTTTTTTTAACTAAAATCGATTGTAAATGAGAACTACAAAAATACAGATCCATTTTGCTCGAATTTATTCCGTTAAATGGCATTTACAAATTAACCAGGAGTTTTTTTATTATTTCTAAATCGTAAATCCTAACCATATATCATTTATTTTTTTTCACTTGGATGCGTATGAATCCTGCAATCTAGTAACAGATGAACATCGTATAAAAATCAAATTGAAAGTAAATTTAATTAGGAAAATGTCAATCAAATACATTTACAATGTGTTATTATGTTTGCTGACATATATGTTGGAATTTTTGGAACATTTTTTAAGCTATTTTTTAAAGGTTTTTTAAGAAATAGCTTAAGAAAAACCAATTGAAATTAGGAAAACTTCGAACAATAATATCGTTTTTATTATAAATGTAAAACCCTGTATGTTTTAACATAATCAAATAGAAAATTAAAGAATCTTTCGATTGGTATTATAATAACTGTTTCCTAAAGTTAAAATTTCAGAGACATTTAACAATTTCTAATACTTTCAATACAATTTTGTATCAACAAACCTGTGAAATTCGACATGTGGGTTAATGTGACAGTATCCATGGTTACCACTTAATCTGCCATTGTTTAAAATTAATTAAAATATTTAATTGAAAAATTAATAACTCGAAAAATATTGACTTTAGGATATGGTACCTACATACATATGTATAGCCATTTTACTCAGAATTTTATGTAGAATTCAAAAATGTAAAAATATATAAATTTTAAGTATTATTTTGTTCAAAATAATTTAGGAAAAAAGTCCAAATCGAATAATTCACGCTATTAAAATTTTAAATCGATGTCTTTCGCGAATCCCTAGAATCTTCTAAAGGACTACGTACGTGAAACACCCTGTATATTAAACGTCATTTATGTGTTATGCTATACTTAATTATTAATAAAAGATACAATATTTGTATAAAAATGACAAAATGTGCATGTACATTTATGATACTGCTAATTCAAGACTGATCCTGGCCACAGAAACATTATTTGCCCCCTGTACGTTACGTTACGATACGTTTTGAAATAAAAAAGTTATTAAAAAAAATTTCTTCATTTTTAACACAGTGAAGAAAAAAATAATTGTGCTTATTATGTTGCGTACTCTTAAGATACCCTACCCTATATCTAATTAAAGTATTAAGGATATAGACACTTTGTCTGCGAAAACAATACTCTGGCAATCCTAATATTAAAAATACGCTGGTGATAATTTTAGAATTGTATTAAGTACATTTGGTCGATTTTAAATAAAAGTAATAAAATCAAAATTTTAATAACCTAATTAAAAATGTCTATCTTAGATTTATTTGGTATACCTACCTAGTTATTAAAATATTGTATCATTAAAATGTTTATATAATTTTTTTAATGAATAAAATTATTATTTTTCGGTTTTGTATGGGTTTTCCATGTATGTATGTTTATAATTTACATACTATATAACACTTAACAAGATTAAATTACATATATCTAAAGTACCCAAAAAGATATGAGGTGCATTATTTATTTGTAGCAAGAAGACTAAATACAGGGGGAATGCTGGTGCGCAAAATATGTTGCTTTGTGGTCGACAGTTACTCCTCCTTTACTTAGTCTTCTTGATTTGAACACTATCAATCAATACGTTTTTAATGGTAAAAAGGGGTAAAAATTACCACCAAAAAAATGTTAAAAATAAAAATTGAATTCTCTATGTACAAAAATTGTTGAATATTGAAATATTTCATAAACCATTAACGTCACACCCTGTATAATACAAAAAAACATATGTCTTTAAGTTCAACATTTTAAGGCTTAATATTTCCAACAAAAAAATCTAAATTTAAAGCTGACTTTCGTAACTAAACCTCTTTTAAAAGAAATCACCGGACTGAGACTGTTCCGGAAATAAATCTTTATATAAAGAGCATTTTCGGCAGAACGATTTTCTTACGTTTCCTCTACCAAAACTATAAAGTTATTTTAGTATTTTTGTAATTAAAATCCTTACCGTTTTATCAAGACGATTGTGTTTAGAATAAAATTATCGTTACACAGTGCATTATTGTATAATTAATTGTCAAAACAGTTATTTATTTTAATTTATGAGGCAGTTAAGACTATTATTAGTTTTTCTTATATGGTAGAATAATGATCCTAAATAATTAATAATTAATTTGATTGAATTTTTGACATGAGTGGGTGTAGCATCATGTGACATTTTTTTTAATAGTAGGTAGGTATACCTATAGGTATATCAAGAAACTAATTTAAAGTTTGCAAATTAATTTATGAATACATTTTGTAATCCCATTAACCCTTAGATAAACTTGTTTATGAATCTTTTTTCTAGGTACTTAATTAAACGGGTTTATTGTTGAACCTAATTAAAACTTATTGGGGTGCTTAAGAAATAGCAACCTTTGGTTTTCACTTTAAAAACAAAATTTTAGGTTATTATTACTGATTCTAAATAACATAACAAAACAATACCACGGTAGAACAACAACAACACATACAATAATAAAACACTTACCCAGGGTTGCCAACTGTAGTAAATAACAAAACCGTACCGGCGGCTAAAAAATGACCGTACTTTTCAAAACAGGACCGTACTTTCGCATTTTCACATATGACGTCAGCAAAACAAGCATAATTTTTAAAATATTTAATTTTGTAAAATTTGTTCACAAAACCATAAA